AAGCAGTACTGCATCGACGTCATGGCGGTGATGGGCATGTATGTGAAGGCGTGCGAAAGGCCGCTCACAGGACGTAAATCCAAATCAACAGTCGGCGACCTGCTCTCGAGGTACATTGCAGCGTCGCGTTTCTCCTATTCCCAGAACATACCGGTCTACAAAGCCAGAAGTGGTTCATCGTGCACCTTCGGAACAACCCCAAATGAAGCGGTCATGTTCCAGCTAAAGGCGTACAGCGCGAACGTCTTCACGTCAACCCCCGAGCGACGCAGGCTTACTTTAGACTTTTTCGTTTTGAGAAAGTGATCGCCCTGCACGCGAAGAGACGCGCTCCAGAGGGGATGCTTGACATCAAGGCTGCGTCTTGGCACGCCCACGCGATGGCAGTGCTACGACAGCAACTCGAGCAAGGTCTCATTGCCATTCCCAAGTCGGTTAAGTTCGAGGAGTGGCGCGGCGCCCCGAAGAGGAACAAGCGTAAGCGCACTTCCTCCGCTGGCCCAGCTAAGCGCCAGAAGTACTAGCTGATGCCCGTGGCTTGCAACGCTTCTTTTTCCTCCGCTCACGATGTTACATGTATTCGCGATGTGCGTGCTTGAAAATCTGTGTGGGTTGCATTTTTGTTCGTGCTGGGAGGCCCCAGCTAGTCCGCCGACTCCCCTCGGCAACGCTCAACTTACTGCGCGCGAGGGATTGCGCATGCGCTTGCATTGCGTTGCACGTGCATTACGTTTGCATTGCTTTTTGTAGCAGTACTTAAGAAATAACGAGAGGGAGAGGGGGCGGGGGGTGGTAGAATGGAGGAAGGAGGGAGGAGAAAGGGAAAGGAGGGCTTGCGACGGATATCTTAAGATGTGATGCGTTGTATCCCCAGACCCCTGAGAGCCGCCGCGCGCGCGGAAAGCCGCTTGGTCAAATCGCACAAACGATTCACCGCGCGGGGGGGGGGGGGGGCTTTCGGGGGGCGGGGGGGTTCGAACCGGCAGTGGCCGCCCAAGGTTTTCCGAGAGGGGGGGGGGGTCAGGGGAGGGGGGCGGGTTTGCCCGGGGAAGGAGGGGGATGGGGGGGGGGGGCAGCAGGGGGGGGATTTTCGGATGGGGCGCGGGTTCCGGAGGAAGGGGGGGGGGGGGGTCCAAAGTATGGCGGCGGTGGATCACGCTCTCTCAGCTATGAAGATCCAGTAATTTATCGAGTGCAGTTACAATGCGCCGTTGCTGAATGGCGCGACAAATATTCGTGCTCGACTGTGCTGGGAACCGCCGGCGCCAGTTCTCATCGGACCAGAGGACCAGCGACCGCGCCCGAGGCGGGTCGCGTTCGTCGATGACGATCGTCTGATTGAGCGCGGCCGCATGCTCCCTTCTATTCCCGAATTTCGACACTCAGTTCATCCGATATTGAACGACAGACAGCGCTACCGACTTATACTTGGATCAAACAAAAAGAAATCAGACATCCGATGAAGAAGCGGGCATCAATGCCCAAAGTAGTCGACGAAGGCAACGGCGACTGCGGCGGCGACCTAAAAGGTCTCGGACGCGGCGCCTGCGACACCGATGTCCCCCATGACTCCGACGCTGAGAGCGATGGCGAAGAAGAAACCTTCATCGCGCTACCTGCGGGGCTACCTGCGGACGCGCATGCCGACGTGTTCTCCATAATCCCGACCATATGTTACGGACGACACAACAAGGTCGATCGGAGGTTGGGGGGTGAGATCGAAGTGGAACGGAGAGCCCCCCTACCGGGATATCGGTTTCGGCGTCGCGTTCGCGCGTGCCGCGCGCGCGGGCGAGGCGATGCAGCGCGGGCGGGCGAGAAGAATGTCTCCTCCGGCTGAGGCGCGGCCGGACCATATGATTCCTCACCGGGGGCCGGTGGCCCGCGGTGCGCCGCGGATTTCCCGCCTCCGGCTGAGGCGCGGCCGGACCAAATGTTTCCTTTCCGGCGGCCGGTGGCCCGCGGTGTCCCGCCGGTGTCCCGCCGGTGTCTCGTCGGTGTCCCGATGGTGATGGTGATGATGGCGTTGATGACGTTGACGATGATGTTGATGGTGATGGTGGTGATGATGATGGTGTCCCGATGATGATGATGTTGATGATGACGTTGATTATGAGGATGTTGCTGGTGATCCCGATGATGAAGATGATGATGATGATGATGGTGTCCCGATGATGATGATAATGTTGATGATCATGATGGTGTTGATGATGATGATATGATGGGGTGCTGATGATGATGGTGATATTGTGAGATCGATCGTGAGATCGATTGTGAGATCGATAGTGAGATCAATTGTGACGTCGATAGAATGGGATCGGTCGTGAGAAATCGATAGTGCGATCTGTAGTGATATCGATCGTGATATTGATAGTGGGATCGTTCGTGAGATCGACGATAACGACATCGCCTGCGAGAGCGATAGAGAGATCGATCGTGATATCGATCGAGTGGGACCGATCGTGAGATCGACAGGGAGGTCGATCGAGCGAGATCGGTCGTGTGATCGACCGGGGGGGATCGATTGGGAAATCGATGGTGGGGTCCATTGTGAGATCTATTGAGTGGGGTGTTGGGTCCGCCCCTCCATCAACTCTCTGGCCATTCGAGGATTTCGGCTCAAGGCTTCTGTTGCGCTCGGCACGCGGGGGGGCCGCGAACGCGCGCACTTCGGTCACGCACTTCCTTCGGCTGCGCTACGAGGGGCCAGGCATTGCCAGCCGAAATGCTCGACAAGAGTGTGGAGACGCTGGGGGGCATGAACACACAGACGGCCAAGTACGCCAAGTGGCACGCGAGGGTCCTCGACCCGAAGGTCATTGATTACACGTTCACTGCGAGGAACGAAACAGTGAAGGCGCAGAAATTCAGTTGCGTTTTGGTGTCAAACGCGCCCGCGCAGTACATGCTCGGCGCGGTGCCCTTCAGTTTCAAGAATCGGAGCGCGGCAGTCGAAGCCTTCAGAGAATTCACGGCGGACTCCGCGCGGGGGTTCCGGGCCCCGAGCTTCGACGCCGGAGCCGAGGCGGACTTCGTCGGCGGCCCGTTGATGTCGGTGGCCATGTTTTGCATCCCGCCCGCGCTGACCCGATCCCCGCCCGCCAGCGCGGGAGCGTTGGCGCATCCCGCTAAGGGGATGCAGATCGCATTGGACATCAATGGCGTCGTGGATCTTCTCATGGAGAACGCTACTGGTGCAAAGCAAAGGGCGGCCTTCGACTTCTGCGCAAGTTCCTCGGCATCGGCACTTCCAAACAAGTCGCTAAGAACGGCAGCCTCCTAATGGTAGCCGAAGCGGAGTTCGCGGATGCTGGCGGCGGGAAGATCGCGGTGGCCGCGCGGGAAAGGGCGCGCGAGTCTTTCGCCCACGCGCGCCTGGGGTCTGGCGTCGCTGTGCACGGAAGCAGTGCTGCGCTTGAGAACGGCGAGGTGAAGATCAACATCTGGCCTGGGGCCCACATCAGCACCGTTGGCGATCGGGCTCAGTCTTTGACAAGCTTGGACGCCGCCAGTCTGTCGGCCGAGGTGCTCACCTCCCAGTGGGTGCCGTCTTCTGGTGGCGGTTTAGCGAGTGCCATGGAAACCGCGGCACACTCCACGCGCGCCGTGGCGTTGGCCGACGCGATGACCCACCCCCAGCCCATCGCGTTTCAGATCAACCGGTGCCTCCTGGACGCGCCGCTACACAGGGCCCCATGTACGCGCAGGACGGCAGCCTCTTCCTCCGGAGTTGCCGTCTTCGGGACGCCCCCAGGGGGGTGGGCGTAGACGTGCCCCGGCACTCTACGACTGCTCGTCCCCTGACGAGGTGGTGGCCCAGCTTGACGCCCAGTCCTTGACAGGTTCCAAGCACCAGTTCATGCGTATGTGTATGCGCATGTGCATATGCTTATGTATGTGTATGTGTACGTGTATGTATGCATGGATGTCTATATATATATTGTATGTGTGTAAACTGTATTTGTCTCCTCCGCGTCCCTTCTTCTGCCTGACCGTCTGTTCCATAACCGCTCTTGCTCAAGCTCTCAGGATAAGCCCCCTTCTCCCCTTGAGCTCTCTCAGCCTTTGGCGAGGGAGGAGGCGGGTCGCCATCACGAACAGGTATTTCTGTTTGCTTTCCAGCCTGCTCGTCCTCGTTTTCAACGAGAATCCGCCGCGGGGTGGTGAGGGCGAGCAGGCCGACGCTGAGGAGTGCGACGCAGAGGGCGAGTCCGATTTTGTTCCGCATCCAGGGTTCACCTGGGCAGGGTCCGTGGACGAGGGGGTCGACTTCGGTGCTGAGGTAGATTCCATCTTGATCGCTGGTATCGAGGCCAAGGGATTGCCGATCTCGGTCCTCGAGATGGTGTGGAAGAAATGGAATCGAGCGTATCTGCAGACGGGGGGCGACGCGGCGGTGGTCCTCATGCTGGTGCATCCCGTACCTGGCAAGGTCGGGACTTGGACGGTGGTCGACCCGGCCAAGCGGGTGCAGCTGCAGGACCTCCGGTCGCAGAGGATCCACGCGAAGCCGAAGGCCAGGTGGCAGCTGGCGCCCTTCGACGGGCTCACGGCCGAACAGAAGGAGAAGGCGGAGGCGGACTCGGTGAAGCTGATCAGGAGGACTGCTGGAGACTCGAGGTTCTCGACCCCCACGAGATTGACCAAGCCAGAGAAGGAGAAGAGCAAGCACAAAGGAAAAAGGTCCTCGAAAGGCAAAGGGTCTAGCAAGTCAAACTTTGCGTGGTGGCTCGCGCAGACCGTGGTGACGGTCGGCGGGGCTGTGTGGAGCTACAAGTTTGTGGGGACCTTCGGCCTGGGGTGCTTGCTGAGTTACAAGGCGTGGAAGTTCTTCGGGATTGGGGGGCTGATCGACGACAGCATGAACGCTCTGAGGTCTGCTTCAGAGACTGCGGAGAGGGTGGCGGATACCTATGACCTATGACAACTTTGCTGAGCGCTGGGAAGAGGGAGGTTTTGATTCGATGATCCTGGGTGGTCTGGCCCTGGCCTTCGTCGCTATGCTGGTTTACTCCCTCGGAGGGTGTGATATGAAGAAGAAGCGCTTCAACGGAGACGGCTTCGTCACTGACTCGGACAGTGGGAGTTCGGTTGACCTAGGTACGACCGCCTCCGACACCGATGATGACGACGGGCTCGTGAGGCACCCAGGCATGCGGATGCTTCTTGAGCAAGAGGCAGAGCTTCATAGTCAGATCGCGAGGCTTTCTGCCAAGAAGACGAGTGACAGCGGTGACGAGGGGGACACGAAGTTCACAGCCGCTCAGGAGGATGAGTCAGTCAAGATGGGCATCGACAAGTTGATGGCTAGGCTGGTGGCGGATGAGAAGCAGGTCTCGGATGATCAGGGTGGCGCAGGCGGGGCTGTGCGAGGGAAGGTGGTCTCATCACTCGACGGGCTGAGCGCAACGGCAGTGAAGAACTTCGTCTCGCAAGGGCAGCCCGGGAAGTCGATCGACCAGTACATCCAGGAGCTGGAGCAGGAGGCCCGCGACCCGCGGGCGGCCATGCTTTCCCAGCTGAAGCAGTATGAGGCCGCGGACTGGAGCATTGGCCCGTCTCAGTCTCGCATCGCCCCCATGGTTCTTGCCAGTATGTACAAGTTCGGGACGAGCGCCAAGTCCCAGGTCCAGCAGTACGTTCGGTCGAAGGAGCTGGAGTCATGCCATGCAGCTAGCGAGATGGCGTTGATGGCGGCTATCATGGACAGGATGCTGAATGCCGACCAGGACATGGTCAACAGCCAGGCGGTCGAGGTCATCTGCAGGCGTTTGTACGGTCTCTTCCGTGCGTTTGAGAATGTGAAGAAGCAGAGTGACTGGTAGCAGCCACGCGGTGAAGGTGGGAAGCGCTGGAAGAGCAAGATGCGGTGGGAGCTCGCAGATGAGTGCGACGCGGTCGCGCTGGAGAGCGACGACTGGGCCATCACGGATGCCGACGAAGGGGTTCGTAAGCGCCTGGAGCGGAAGGCTTTGTTCAACAAGTACCTTGACAAGGCCTTTCCCGACGGCGGCAAGGACAGCTCCGAGTAGGGGTTGCCTGCCTCTCCAGCGGCGGGAGGGGTGCAGGCAAGTGCGGAGCGTTGCCGCCTTTGCTTTGTGCTCTTCAAGTACCTGTTCAAGTTCGTGTTCTTGGTGACGGTCCTGAGCGACCTCTTCTGCGGCTTCGGCGTGGGCTCTGTATGCAAAGTTTTTCAGCCTGCCAGAGTCGGTGGCCCTTGTCGTCGGGAGCGTGTGCTTCGGGATGACCCTGGGTTCAACGCGGAGGCCCGCCGGCGCGGAGGCTCGGATCCGAGACCCTCTGCGCAGAGCGCCTCGGGCGGGCCCCCTTCTGCGTGGGGGGGGGCCTGGAAGAGGAGAGCTCCAGTGCGGAGGCCTTCTTGACGATCAGGAGGGTCAACAGGTCGGTGAACGCCATCTCGCGCATGTACCGCGGGGTGCTGGACGGGGCGAGGGGCGAGACTCTGAGAGGGACTCGTTCGTCGCGGAGGGGGGTCTCGGCCGCTCAGAGGGAGGTGGCGCGGGACCTCTGGAGTCGCTGGCGGGCCCGAGCCTCGCCGACGGAGCGCCAGTCTTAAAGCAGCTGGCGTCGCGGGCCGTCGGGTGGCATCAGGCGAAGGAGAAGGAGGGAGCGGCCGCGGGGCCGCAGCGTGGCGACATGTGCCCTATGAAGGTCAGCGAGGTGCCCCTCCCGCCGCCGGGGTCAGCGCCGATCCCGATCGAGACCATGTCGCCGTCGAGTCGCCCGTACCTGAGGGGGCCGATAAGGACGATGGTGCTCGGCGACCACGAGGTAGACTGGGCGGCTTACGACATGATCAAGCCGTACAGCGACCCTAGCCTGAAGCAGAAGCAGGTGAAGCTGGAGCTGCCGGAGAGGCTGGCCGGGTCGGGCATGCTCGGGATGTGCGACGAGGTGGTGGAGGAGGTAAAGGTTTTCACAGTCCTGAAGAGGATCGACGAGAAGACGGGGCAGCGGAGCTCGAGGCTGATTTGGGACATGAGGAGGTCCAACATGAGGTTCAGGAGTCCGCCCAGGGTCGCCATGGGTTCGGCCGCGGCCCTCTGCGGGGTCGACTTGAGTTCGAGCGTATGTGGAGACCTGGAGGTGACCAGCTTCGTCGGGGATGTGCCGGACTTCTTCTACAAGCTGCTCTTGCCGGAGGGGCTGTGGGGCTACTTCGGCTTCGAGGGCGTGTCTGGAGAGGAGTTGCGGGCGCGCCTGCAGAAGCGAGGGCGGCAGGACCTTGTCGAGCAACTCGGAGGTGGAGTTCGAGTTTGCTTGCGGGTGCTGCCCATGGGCTTCGCGTGGGCGGTCTTCTTCGCCCACTCGGCCCTGCAGGACGTGATGGAGGGCGAGGGCGGGCTGAGCGTGGCAGGGAGGGTGCAGCGTGGCGCCCCCCCTCCCCAGTTCTATCGCGAGTCGCTCTTGCACTGGATCTTCATGGACGACTACGCAGGCTTCCGTCTCGAGCCAAAGGGCACCGCAGTGGAGGAGTTTCAGGTGAAGAAGGACGGAGCAAGGGCCCGACGGGCCCTGGAGGCGGTCGGGCTGTCGGCTCGCAAGGAGGACGTCGGGCGGGGCCTCGAGCGCTCGCTGGGGGCCACCCTGGATGCGGGCAGCAAGGTCTTGCAGGTGGTGGAGGAGAAGATCCGCGTGGCGGTGCTGGCTACGGAGGCGCTGCTGAAGCAGGATCGGGCCGTCCCCACGGCGGTCGAATCGCTGATGGGTCTCTGGGCGTGGATCTTCACCTGCGCGAGAGGGGCCATGAGTGTGCCTCGCCACGTCTACAGGTGGATCCAGGAGTACCGAGGCGAGCAGGAGGCCCCTTTGTGGGACGAGGTCCTCGACGAGTTCTTTGTCATGGTCTCCTTGTCGGTCTATTACGGGACCTTCCTGGGGTCCGAGTGGCACGAGTGGATCTTCATGACGGACGCGAGCCACCTTGGTTTCGGTATTGTGGCGAGCCGCTCGGACGTGAACGAGATGAGGGCCCTCTGCGAGGCGGGCGACGAGCAAGGATGGTCGACGCAGCTTCACGAGGCCTACTCGGGAGTGGAGGAGGACGAGCTCGACCACGTCACCCCGGCCTGGCAGCATCAGGCGAGGGAGAAGCATGCGCGCGATGCTCGAGAAGGGGCCCCTGGCTTTTGCGAGCTGTTCGCTGGTTCAGCTCGTCTGTCGGGGGCCATCGGGCGAGCTCGCCTGAGCTGGGTGGAGCCCTGGGAGATCGAGCAGGGGGCCCGCTACGACCTGGGGGACTTGGCGAACCTGGGGAGGCTCTTCGCCGACCTGGCCAGGGGCGTCTATTGGCTCGTGCATCTGGCCCCGCCCTGCGCTACGTGGTCACGGGCGCGCGTGCCCAAGCTGCGGAGCGCGACGGAGATTTGGGGCCTCTCGGGTCTCTGCGAGGACGAGCGGGAACAGGCGGACAACGGCACCTATTTGATGATGATAGCGGTGGAGGTGATGCTGGAGTGCATCAAGCGGGACGTGGGGTTCAGCATGGAGAACCCCGCCTCGTCGATGTGCTGGATGCTCCCGCCGCTGAAGAGCGTGATGGAGTCGGATGGCGTGCGCCTGATCTACCTGGACTTCTGCATGTTCGGGACAGAGTGGAGGAAGCCGACCAAGGTGCTCACCAACGTTGCGGAGTTGACGGCGCTCGGTCGGCGACGCCGTGGACGCGCGAGCTGTTGTTCGCGCACTGGGCGGCCTCATCGGTCTCCAAGGGGAGGCGTGCCGAGAGGCATTCCGGCGTATGCGGACAAGGTGGGATGGCGCTGGACTCAGGTGGCGCGCCCCTACCCCGACGAGCTGTGCGAGGAGTATGCGAAGCTGGTGGCGCCCAGAGCACCGCTGATGGCCAGACCTGGGGCGGTGCTGAGGGCCGAGCGGCCACTGCTGCTAGGGGCGAGAGGGCTGGCGCTGGCCGAGGACGTGCCCGACTCAGTGGCGCACGTGGATCGTTGGCACCAGGTGGTCTCGGGCACCTGGGATCGCGAGGAGCACCAGAACGTGCTGGAGTGCAGGGCGGTGGTGATGGTGCTGCGGCGTCTAGCGCGTTGTCGGAGGAACTGGCACCAGAAAGTAGTCGTGGTCACCGACAGCCTGGTGACGATGGGCTGCCTGAGCAAGGGGCGCTCGTCGTCCTGGCCACTGTTGCGGCAGGCAAGAGTGAGTGGGATCATCCAGTTGGTGCTGGGTATCCGCCCCAAGTTCCGCTGGGTCAGCTCCGAGCGGAACGTGGCGGACGGCCCCTCTCGGGGAGCAGCGCTTGGGCCCGACCTGGACACGATCAAGAAGGGGAAGGCCCAGGCGCGCGGATTGCCGCGGACGGTGAAGGCACGACTCCAGAGGCTTCCAGGGCACCGCCAGCGAACAGGCCACCACTGGTAGTCTGGATTGCGATGCTCACGACGGTGCTGCAGGCGGAGGCTGGACGTAAGGCGGACCCCCCGAGCGCGGAGCCGGCAGGTGAAGAACGACATTTCGAGTTGCCCAAGCCTGCGTCCTCCTTCGTGCCCTTGCGCAAGAGGGGGTCACGGGCCTGGGATCGCCACAGTGGCTACCCTTTCTATGACCTCGAGCTGCTGGTGAACAAGTTGCTAGTGCACAGGGCCACCGACAGCACCAACAGGATCTACGCGAAGTGGGTGCATATGCTGCTGAAAGATGTGCGCCAGCACGGAGTACCTTTAGAGACACATGAGGAACGAGATCGAGCACTTGCTGCGTACATGTCATATTTGTGTTATTCCAAGAGGCTGTCGCACATTCATGGCGGCCACTTGTTGTCGGGCTTCGTTCACATCTTCCCCGAGCACAGACGCGACTTGGCCCTCTCATCGCGAGCCCTGTCAGCCTGGCAGACGTTCAAGATGTCACAAGAGGGTGGAGTTTCTGTCGCGAGGTTGTGGGGTTCCTGGTCTCCGACTTGCTGGAGAGAGGAAAGGTGATGTCAGCTTGCGTCGCCTTCTTCACGTTCGACACCTTCTGCCGTGAACAAGACTGGGCCTCGCTGAGAGGGGAGAACCTGGCCTTTGATGGTGAAGATCTGGCAGTTGTGTTTGGAGATCGCCGACGAGGAGAAGAGGTGAAGACGGGCTCGAACCAGGGCCTGAACGTGGGATCGCCTACGACTACGGCACTGCTCCGAGGACTCACCGAGGGCTGCGACTCGGGCGATGTGGTCTTTCCTTTGAGTGTCTCGGAGTACCGACGGCAGTGGATGATCAGTATGATGAGGTTCGGTCTGAGCCACCTCGGCACGCCGCACAACATGCGGCACGCGGCTGCCGGGGAGTTCGTGGCGCACGGCGGGGCGCTCGAGAGCTGCAGGCGCCGTGGACGTTGGGCGTCGCTCTCGTCTGTGCAGCGCTACACAACAACGCACAAGATAGTAGAGGCTCGCGCCAGTCTGACTCCCCAGCAAAGTGAGTTAGGACTGGAGTTTTGGAGCGCGCCACACAAGATTTTTTCGAAGCTCCTTAGGTCGCCAGCCTGTTCCCACCTCGTCGCCTCTGCCGGACTTCTGAAATATCTGGCACGCGTGGACCCTGGGAGCCATCGAGGTGACTGCGTCCACCTGTCTCTCGGGAAGGGCCCCCAGGAGACCAGCGCAGCAGTGCGCGACTTTAAACCTTCTCGTAGAAGGCCTAAGCGATAACTTTTTTCGGAACCCTCCCACCCACCCCATGAAGAAGGGGACTAGTGTTTTTACCAGAGTAGGAGAGTAGGATTGTGCAGGGTCCTGCGACCTTGAGGGGATCGCGCCTCGGGGATCGCACTCGTGCTGCCGCCCCTCGCTGCTCTCTGAATGTAGACACCTTCAGGGCCTGGAAAATAGAGTGTATGTCACCGCGTCGGGGACCGTCTCAGGGTTGAGGGTGCTTGAGCTCTGGCCAGGTTTTTTGGATGATGGAGGGATGATAATCTATGTTTGTAAACTGTCTTTATCTCCCCCGCGTCCCTTCTTCTGCCTGGCCGTCTGTTCCGTAGCCGCTCTTGCTCAAGCTCTCCCGCCCAAACCCGCACTTTAAACTTTAGTCTGATCTGTTGGACCGCCTGTAGCGGTTGAGGATTGTGCAGGATCCTGCGACCTTGAGGGGATCGCGCCTCGGGGGTCGCACTCGCGCTGCCGCCCCTCGCTGCTCTCTGAATGTAGACACCTTCAGGGCCTGGAAAATAGAGTGTATGTCACCGCGTCGGGGACCGTCTCAGGGTTGAGGGTGCTTGAGCTCTGGCCAGGTTTTTTGGGCGGTGGAGGGATGATCTATGTGTATATATATATGTATATATGTATACGTGTGTATGCGTATATGTATGTCGGAGGTTGGGGGGCGAGTCCGACCTGACACGGAGGCCCTCCCCACCGGGAAATCGATTTCGGTTTCGGGATCGTGTCGCGCGCGCCGTGCGCGCGCGCGGGCGAGGCGAAGCTGCGTGGGCGGGCGAGAGGAAAGCCTCTGGTGACTGGGCCGCGACCGGACCACATGTTGCTCCTCCGGCGGCCGGTGGCCCGCGGTGTCCCGCCGGTGCCCCGCTGGTGCCCCGAAATCCTCTTGTGGCTGGGACGCGGCCGGACCAAATGATTTCCCCCCAGCGGCTGGTGGCCCGCGGTGTCCCGCCGGTGTCCCGTGGTGTCCTGTGGTGCCCCGTTGAGTGATATCGATAGTGAGATCGATACTGAGATCGATAGTGAGATCGATATAGATCGACGCGGTGCCCCGAGGTGCCCCGCGGCGTCCCGTGGTGCCCCAAAAAGGTGAGATCGATAGTGAGATAGATTGTGAAAGCGATAGTGAGATCGATGTTGAGATCGACGTGGCGCCCCGAGGCGCCCCGCGTTGCCCCGCGTTGTCCCAAAAAGTGAGATCGATAGTGGGACCATTTGTGAGATCAACAGATATCCCGTGGTGTCCCGTGGTGTCCCGTGGTGTCCCGTTGAGTGAGATCGATTGCGGGGTCGATACTTCGATCGATGTGGTGCCCGAGGTGTCCCGTGGTGTCCCGTCATGCCCGAAAAAGTGGCATCGATAGTGAGATCGATAGTGAGATCGATCGGTGTTCCGTGGTGTCCCGCTGTGTCCCGTTGAGATCGATAGTGAGATTGATGTGGTGTCCCGCCGGTGTCCCGTGGCGTCATATGGTGTCCCGTCGTTGAGTGAGATTGGTAGTGAGATCGATCGTAAGGCCGATAGCGAGATCGAGAGGTGTTCCGCGGTGCCCCGCGGTGTCCCATGGCGCCCCGTGGCGTTCCGTGATGTCCCGTTGAGTGAGGTCGATAGTGAGGTCGATAGTGAGATCGACAAGTGTCCCGTGGTGCCCCGTGGCGTCAGATGCCCCCCCCCCCCCCGCCCCCACCCCTCGCTCCCCCCCCGCAACCTTTTTATAACCCGAAGGGTGGTCGTATAGGTATGTTGGAACTGCGTGGAGGAAGCGGGGGAATATCGCAGCTAGCTTTCAGCCGAGGCTTGTCCCGCGGAGGAAACTTAGACAAACATTCAAACGTTGACCTTGGAAACAGGGGCGCCCAGGATGCAGTGATGCATTATTCAGACGCGTGGTTCGTCACTGTTGTCATACTACAACCTAACCGCAAAACGACAGGACTACCTTCTCATGTCGATTCCCAAGTCGATGATGACACGTGGCATGAACACCAGACCGAAGACCTTCCACATATCAAGTAGTACGGGACAAGTTGCCATGCGTCAGAACGACCTTCGACGGTTTTACTTACGAGACCAACCAGTGGGTACTTGGGTGGATCAAATGCCGCCATGGACAACATTGGCCACATGCAAGGGCACTTGCAAAGTAAATATGGATCAGAGTATTACTCGTCTACGTGACTCCCATAGGGTATGTTGACGGAAACCGACCGAGATAATGGCCAATCATCGTCTCTTACCTACCTCTTTTGAACGAAAGCGGTGAATTGGCAATCACCAGCATGCCTCGGTATGCAAGGCTGCACAATATACCTTCAATATGCAGTCCCTTTTTGTCGATGCAGTTCAGATCGCGCACGATCTATTACAGTAAACCGTGATCATGTTCATGGTCCCCTTATTATTCCACCGTCCTTGTTACCAACACGAGGGGATTTGATTTGGACGAGCCAACTATCCCTCGATTACCCGACGGGTCGATCACGAGACCACCCTCGGGAGGATTAGGATGTCTTGCATGTGCAGAGAATGTGAATATGCATGCCCCCATCATGACAGAGACCCTAAACATAGCAGGTGGTACGATAAGGAGAATTGCCAGCAGGAGTGTCCGAGTTGCAAGAAAAACTACGGCCATAATAAGCCCGGTCGCTTACGGACACACGGCAGATTCAAGATTGCCAAACCTGGGAAACTGCCCGACAACCACGGACAGGCACTGCAGGCTCCTGCCGAACCGGCAGCACCACCAGCCGAGGCACAAGCCGCACCACCACCCCTGCAGCTACGAGCACCGAGGCCCGGCCTCAGGGCTGGCCCAACAGCTGGTGCCAGAAGCCATGACATTGCACTGGGCAGACATGCTGCTGAACCTGCTGCGGGGCAACCTGCGCCCCCAGGCGGGTCCGCCGAGGAGGGTGAGGATGGCGGCCAATAGAATGATTACCTTGACGATCGCTTGAGCGCGGATGACGCCTACCACGAGATCGGGCTTGCCAACTTGGAGTGGTGGGGCACCGTGAGCTGTGGGCGCGTCCTGCTCCAGGGGGGCCCCGCGACGGCCATGATCCCCGACGGCATGGCCGCTGCGGTCAGTCACGTCAAAGCGCGGGCGCGCCTCGCCCTGGAGCAGGCCCGCGCAGGACGGGCCGGCATGCCACCGGCCACTACCGATCGCCTCTGGAAGGTGTTTGTGGCGCTGGATGGCCTCCTCTTTAGCGAGGGCTCGGCTCCCGCGCCGACCGCGCGCCGTGAACGACTCCAGGAGCGCCTGGGCTGGATCCTCGCAGGCCAGCGGGATGCTGCCTGGCTCTCGATGGAGGACCAGACGCGCCAGGGCCCTGCGGGCCGCGGTCGGAAGGACAAGCTTGGAGCCCGTGTCCGCCGAGTCACCGAGCTCGCGCGCGCGGGGGAGATGGCCCGGGCTCAAGCGGCGGTCTGGCCGCAGGGCGACATGGCAGATGCGGCCGCGGTGGTCCGCAAGTTTCGCATTGCGCAGATGCCTGACCCGCCCCATCCTGCCGCCCGGGGCCCCCCGCCAGGCTCCGGGGTCGCCCCGCGCGCGCCTGGCGGCGGTGGCGGCCTCCCAGGGAGGGCAGGCTGACGCAGCCATGGCCCTTGCGGAAGGTGACGAGGCCCGCAGCGCGCCTGGGAGGCGCCCAGGGGCCGCCGAACTCCGCCGCCGCGCTGCCGCGTACCTGAAGGGCCAGTTCGGCCGCTACCCCAGGCGCGGCGGCGCGGGACCAGGCGGTGGACGCTACGAGCACCGGGCCCCCCTCAAGACGGACGAGGAGGGGGCCGCCGCGGTGGCCGACGCGCTTGCTCGGCTCGCCACTGGCGGCCTCTCCCAAGGGGCCCTCGCGGCCCTCGTCGCCGCTCGCCTCGCGGGCGCCCCGAAGGCCGCCCCTGGGGACGCGCGCGCCAGAGGCTGCGGGGACGTCGCCAGACGGATTGGCGGGGCGCAGCGCGGCCAATATCTTCCACGCGGATATGCGCGCAGCGGTTGGGGCCAGCAGTTTGGCCTCGCCAAGGACGGGCGCGGCGCGCTCCATCGCCGCCTGCGCGCGATGGCCAACGCCCAGCCTGGTCGCTGGGTCGTAGCGGTGGATCTGGGCGACGCCTTCAGCAACATCCCCAGGGACCTGGTCAAGGAGTCGATCCGCGCCAAAGTCCCTGGCCCACGCCCCCCGGCTGAGGCGCGGCTGCAAGACTGCGCCAACCGCGTCGCTGGAGGCTGGTCGCGCCCAGCCCAGCTGGTCGCCCAGATCCGCGGGCTTGATCGGGGATGCCCCATGGGCCCCGGTTTCTACGCGTCCGGGACCGCGGACGACCCGAGCCTAAGTTGGGCCTCGGTTCGGGCCGTCGATCCGCAGGGCGACTGCCTGGCGCACTTGGGCGACGCGTGCTTCGTCGGCTCGGCGGACGCGGTATTCCGCGGCCTGGAGGCCTTGAGGGCTCGCTTCGAGTCCCATGACATGAAGGTGAAGATGCCCAAGACTCGGGCCTTGACAGAATTCCATGACTATGTCCTTGACTTCAGCAAAGGAACGCGCATACATGCCAATTTGCAAAGCTCGATGTGCACATATGCATGTCGAAACTTACAAAGATGTGATATGGATGTGCGAATATCCATGTTCAGAAATGATCACGTACTATACGGAAACATAATTCCGCACGCTCAGTCTCAGTAGGTTATTATATATGATGCTGACATAATATGATAAGAACAGCATCTCCAGATATTATACATGCTGAAATTCAACTATTCATGCACGCATTGAACACCCTTATGTTCAGAAATCGGCTCGTCGGAAATCAAAATGCAGCGGCTTCCTGGGGGCCATCCCGCTTTGGAGCGGTGCTTCTCTGCTCTATGCTACGCCGCATCCCCCGCGGGCAGAGGGGGGGGGAGGAGGGGGGGGAAGAGGAGGGGAGACAAAGGAGAAGTGCGAAGAGGAGAAGGGAACGGCCCCAACCGTAGAGACGCCTCCAGAGGAGGAGGGCGAGGAGGATGGGAAGAGAAAGCGAAGGGTAAAAGAAAGGGATGCGATGCGATTTGATGCTTGCTGGGTGGATCGTTAGTCCCACTACCCGCCTTCGTTTCTGAAAGGATGAGCGCTGGGCCGAGTCGCGGCCTTCTTCATCCACCCCCGTCGCTTTCACTAACTCCTCCTCCTCCCCTCCTCCTCGTCATCATCATCATCATCAGCATCATCTCCTCATCATCATCCTTGCCCCATCGCTGCTCAACCTCTCGCAGCTGGGGTCCAGGGCCACGGCGCGGATCCTGACTGAAAAAGGTGGCCTCGGCCGAGTGCGCCGCAGCTCACAATACATCAAACATGCAGCGGGTGTCTTTCATGGTGGTGATGGTGCTGCTGGAGGCAGGAGGCGTCGGCACGGTAGGCACGTTAGCGCAGGCAGCGATGACCATCGCAGCACAGGGCGTCGAAGAGAAGGCATTGCCTGTCAAATCGGAGTAGTGAGCTTCGGACACCTCGAAGGCGTCGCCATCAAGGTGCCATTCGATGAATTTCATCGGGAAGCCTTGCACGTTGAGAGCCTCTCGGCCTAACATGTAGCGCGCCCTGGGCACGCAGCTAGGATCATCCTGGTCGGTACGTGAGGTAGTTTTTCGTGCCGCGCACGAACGTCGCCATGAGGTCCGTGTCGTGCATCATCATGCCCCTGTCGATGTTTGGATTCACGTCGACCGCCAGCAACTTCTTGTCGTGCATCCGCTCAGCCACGGCGATGATTTCTCGGTGGCGCTTGCAACTCAGCTCGAACGCCGGACTGGTGCTCACCGTGGACGGAAGGCGCAGGCGGATCCCATGGTCTTCGCAGAACTTCTGGCGTTTCCGAGCCCAAGACGCATCCTTGTCCTTGGCACGCTGATCCTCAGCGTGCTTCTCATCCGCGATCTCCTGAGCGCGCCGACGGCGCTGGCGAAGCTGCTCCGATTCGATCTCAGCACCGCCCTCAGGGATGAGAAACTTGTCCAGATTGAGCGCAGGCGTGGCAAGCTTCAGAACGGTGGCGAACATCCTCAGCATGACGGCGTGTGTCTCGTCTGGCTCGAGTTGGAAGGCGCTCTAGTTAATGCAGAACGTCCACGCCCGGGTGCGCTTCTGCGGAAGCATGTAGTCGCTGCTGACCAACACGCGCGTCTGCATCTCGTAACCTGCCTCGCGGAGCCAATTCACGAGCCACTTCACGTTATCGGACTCATCTTCGTCCTTTGCCATCTCAGGAGCATTCTCTAAGATGGCCACCTTCGGGCGGTGCGCCTTCATGCACTCGCAGACGCCGAGGCGCGTGGCCCCGGAAGGCCCCAGCCCCTTCTCCAGGACCTTGTGGATGGGATTCGGCGAGAGGATCGTGAGATTCTTGCAGCTGCACGCTGCGGCCAGCAAGAAGGTCTCTTGCTCGACCCTGCAATACTTGTCGTGGACCGCGCACTTGCCGCGGCCGAGATGTAGCCCAACAGTGTCATCGAAGAGGCACGGCTCGTGAAGTGGATCTTGCTGAGATGCGAGATGCGTGTGGACGTTCTGCTTGAGGTGCAGCCACTTGAAGTGACTCTGCTCGCAACTGTGCAAGTGCTTGAAATCACCACCGAGAAGCTCGTGGAGAGCATGATGGCAGATCTCCCCCATGCCAGAACCAGAGCACAAGAGCACAAACTTGCGCACCTGCCTGTCGTTGGCAGCCAAGCGGCCCTCATGGCCAGTTCCTTCTCACGCGTGCTCAGCTTGCCCCAACTCGTGCGGATGAACTGCCCGGGGTTGGAGTCGTCGTACAGGCAGTTCTTCTTCAGCTGCAGCTTCTGCGTCTTCGGAGTCGGAACTGCGACGAGAGCCAAGCACTTCGATTGCCCATCGCCGCCAGCAGCCGCCGGGCGCTTCATCCCGCGCCCCATGATGCGCGCGGCGGGGCCGGCTGCGCCGACGGTTCTATGGGCCAAAAGAAATGAGGGCATAAGGGGTGGGATGGGGCATGGGCCGAGGGCGGAGCCAGGAGTGAGGGGCGAAGCCAACTCGAGATGGTCGGGCAGCGTATCTTGTCAAATGATGCCTCGCCACGTCTCGCCTGACCAGCGCCAACGCCGTGTCTGCCCCTGCGAGGCTAAGGATATCCAAGGTCAGGGTGAGTGGGCCGGACGGTCATTCATTGTCCCTGGGTGCGTGGCTGAAGTGAGAGTCCGCGGTGAGGATCATGATTGTCGCGATGTTGTTGTTGTTGTTATCGTTGTTAGTGTTGTTGTTGGTGTTGTTGTTGGTGTTGTTGTTGGTGCTGTTGTTGATGTTGTTGTTGGTGCTGTTGTTGGTGTTGTTGCTGTTGGTGTTGTTGCTTGTTGTCGCCATCCACCCCGCGACCCGCCCGCGACCCACCCCGCGCGACCCGCCCCGCAACCCACCCGCGACCGATCCACATTGGTTGAAAAAAAAATCGGCGCCTGCGGCGGGCTCGTTGCATAATTTTCGGTCTCCTTCCCCCGCTTCCCCCTGGAACTTTTTGTTCATCCATCGGCGTTATTCACTCCCGAACACCGCGAGCACGGTGCACAGCCTGGGCCAGTCGATCCAAGCCTTACTGCGAATGCCTCTCTGAACCTGTTCACTGGCGGCCCCCCCAGCCCCGAGATTTCGCCGACCCCCCCCCGCCCTCGAGGCGAAGAGCGCAGCAGGGCTTGAACACGCCTGGCAAATCGGCCCCAAAGAGCCTGAATGATCGCGCCCCAAGTTGATCAAAATACATGGCCTTGCTTCCAACGTCAAGAATGTGGGTCCCCACTTGGGCTGCGCTTCTCTAATCCAGAAGCCGCATTAAAGTGATCATTGAGGCCCTCTGTGACAGAGGGGGCGTTTTTCGGATGCCCTCTGCGACAGAGGGGGTGCGTTCGGAGGCCCTCTGTGACAGAGGGGGTGCGTTCGGAGGCTCTCTGCGACAGAGTTGCTCGTCATCCCGTTCCTCGTCATCCTGCTTCTTGATTTCGGATATGTCATGCTACCACTGCGCTCATCATCTTTGCGTCTGTGATCCTCGTCGTGTTTTTCCATGCGTCCTTTTCACAATTTCCACCACATTATCCTCCGTTGCCGTTCTGGCCCGCCATCTACCTCGTCACTCTCCTTCGTCTGCATGTCCTTATTCTTTTCCGCTCTTTTTTCGCCTCCCCTCTGGTTCGATTTCCGCTCTTCGTCCACTTCGTTCATTCGTTTCCAACCCCCCTTCCTTTCAAGTTCTCCGCCGTCCAATCACGTCGCGTCGTCCGCCGCCGCTATGCTCAAACCATCCCGCGCCCGTGGGATCGCCCGCGAGCACCGGTGCAGCTGGGCCCGTCGCGGCCTAACGCGCGCCTGCGCCATCGTCTTGCAATGGGCGATGCAGGCGGATACACATGGGATGGCGCGGGAGGATGGTGGGATAGCCGCAGCAGCGGCTGGCGTGGCTGGGAGGACGGCCATGATTGGTCAGCGAGGGGTTGGAGAGACTGGCGACAAGACGGGCACACGCCAACGGAGGACGCCAAATGGCGCGATGGCCCTGCCGCCGCAGCAGCGGCGGCGGTCTCGCCTCAACGGCCGTCTCGCTTCGCCGCGCTTAGCGTTGTGAGCCCCCGCGCCCCTGGTCTCGGCATGCCCGAATTCGATAATTTCGTGAGGGCTGCCCTCCGAAACGTCACCAGAACCTGGGAACACAGTTTCAGGAGAGGGGTCGGGATCCCGAGCCGCGCCTGCGGCGCAGGAGCCCCGCGCCACCGCAGCGGCGGCGGCGCGCGGGCCCCAGGATTTTGAGAAGTTTGATGTTAATTATTTTTTGAGTTATGAAGAGAGGCTCGGCACTTCGTTTCAGCAACACAATCAAGCGTTGAAATGGTGGCGCCATCTGAATGAAGACCCAACTGCCCCGTTCGAGTCAGAAGCCAAGTGGTTTGACAATGCGGAGCCCACCATGGTCGCTGTTTCCGACCACGGTGCGAGGACGAGCTTTGGTTTCAAAAGCGACGAGGAAGTCCCTTGGCGGTGGCAAGAGATGGTGGCGACGCTCAGGGAGGAAGATATCAGGGAGGTCGTGGAGGGGCCCCGCAGCAGCGGGGCTCTGATCGGCTGTTCCCTCGAAGTCCGGCCAAACAGCTACGACCACATGCGTCAGTGTATTGTGCGCGCGCGACAGTTCGCGGGGCAGCGGGTGAAAGTGAAGCTGCCGATGTGGGATTTCGTGTTGCACCGCGACGACGGGGCAGGCGTCCGTTTACACCCGCACTGGGGCGACAGGAAGGTCGAAGCTCTGCCCCTCGTCCCCCACGCGGACACGGTGAGGCCACCAGCCGCGGGTTTGGGCGGGAGCGACGGGTCAGGAACTTTTCGCTGGCACAAGGACCTCGGTGTGGAGCGTAAGGTCAAGTTCGACGCCGCCAGAGAGAAGGGGAGGCCGACGCCCTCTCAGGGGCCCCGCAGCAGCGGGGCCGCGGCGTCCAGCACCAGGCCCTCGGCGTCCGCAGCAGCGGGTGGCAAACAGTAGTTTTGGGACCGAATAACTCCCCAGACGATTTGGTTGCGGAGTAGATGGCTCCGCAGCAGCAGCGGGGCTCGAACGAAGGGCGCGTCGCATTTCGGCAGGGGCGCGCGCGTCGGCCGCCGAGATCGGGAGCGCGCGTGCAGGCGCCGTGGCGCGATCTTCGTTAAGAAGTCTTCCCTCTCCTCCCTGTCCCCCCATCCCGCCGCCCTCAACGTCGGCTCCTCGCCGCCCGTTCCTCGTCGCTCCACGCCTGTTCGTTCTCCTCCAATTTCCTCTCCCGCTTCCTCGTTCTCTCCTTCCCATTTTTCCCTCCATCCCATTGCATCCCTGGCACCCCAGCGAAGTTCGCAGTTCGAAGTTTGAAGTTCGGAGTTCGAAGGTCGCAGTTTGAATTTCGAAGCTTCGCACTTCGAGGTTCGATCTTCGAACCTTCGTCATCTCGTCGTCGTAATCGTCGTCCTCGTTCGTCGTCGTCGTTCCTCGTCGGCGTCGATTGTCGTTGTCGTCGTCGCTCGTTGTCGTCGTCGCCGTCGTCGTCGTGGTCGGCGTCGTCGTCGTCGGTCGTCGTCGTCGCTAGTCGTCGTCGCTGGTCGCCGTCGTGGTCATCGCCCTCGTCGTCGTCGTCGTGGTCGTCGTCGTCCTCGTTGTCGGCGCCGTGGTCATCGTCGTCGTCGTTGTCGTGAAACGCCCCACGTAGGAGGAGCAGAGAAGGGAGTAAGGAGAAATGAGCACGGTGGAGGGAGGAGGGAGGATTGAACAGGAAGAGGAGGGTGCAGATGGAGGTAGAAGGGATGAGGTAGTTCAGAAGTGGGAGCAGCAGACTGGCGCAATGGGAAAAGCCGCGTGAGTGCAGGGAGGGATGGAAATGCGATAAAGTGAAACCGCAGCCGTTGCAGGTCTGCCTCCCGCCGCGCCCGCCCGCCTCCGCGACGGAACCGCGCAGGAGCCTCTGCCGAAGTCTCCGCAGCAGCGGGGACTGCCAGAGGAGGCTCCTTCGCGGTCTTTGCGCCGCTATGGCGAGCATCGCGGGCAAGTACGACGTCGATGACTTCGAGCCCATCACGACGGAGGGCAGTGTTTGGCACTGGGCGACCATTGCGGTGCGGTTTCTCCAGTGGCGCAATCGTTGCCGCCATGCACGCGCCGTTGGAGTGAAGGGCCAGATGCTCGTCGACCAGGCGCGGCAGATGATGGAGGAGGCGCGCCGTGCCGAGGAGAAGGGCAAGATGATGCTTGAGATGTCGAAGAAGACGGCGAAGGACATCCCAGGCAATATTCGGTACTTTTGCCGCCAGCCGCACCAGGAGAGCTGAGCGGCGATCGGAGCTGGGCCGATAGAGGAGGATGAGGAGGAAGAGGAGGGGGGATGAGGAGAGGGGGAGGAGGGGGATGAGGAGTTGGAGGCAGCACGCGCACCCGCACTAGGGGCCGCCAGCCGCGCCCGTCTCCGAGCATGAAACCCGAGCTTGGCTGGAAGGGGGGAGGGCGGTAGCAGAAACAGCGCAGGACAGGGATGGGAGAGGTCACGCAT